AAGAGTTATTTTTCACTCAGGCCAACGAGAGATTCAGTTTATTGAGAGAAGAAGAAGCTAGCATAATTTGAACGATTCGTGCATTTGAAGGAGATCATTAAGGACGATAAACTTGCAATAATTTGTTGTAAGATTGCTGATGACCTAGGGAGCGGCGGAGAGTAGATAATATAGTCTACAAGGAACAAGGATTTGGACCACTCATCATCAGAGAGAGATAGTTTTGTTTCTGCAGTTTTTCTTTTATTGATAACACAATTTTTACACTTAATTTAAAAAGGATATAAATATTTTGATTGGGAGATTTAGAATAATATTTGGGATTTTGAGATTTCAACTAATATTGTTTGTACCATTAATTTTGAAGGTTCACGTACGTAGAACAAAATTTTAAGAATCATTATATGAGATATTGTTTATTGAAAACATTTGAGTGTGAATTTTATCTCATTATTTTTATTTCAATATATAATGTTAGATCATATATGTTTTTTATTATTCCGGTATTCTTTGGACCTTACCTTTCACATGTAATAGCATAGATATTGAAGCACGAATTTAACCCTGAGATAAGAGAATTAAAAAGTGTGATAGAGTCATAATCATATCATTTAAATAATTAATTAATTAATTAATTAGCTAATTAATTGCTTGGCGCACAAAGACTTTAAATATCGCAATAATATATATATATATATATATATATATATATATATATATATATATATATATTTATATACATATACATTTATATATATATATATATATATATATATATATATATATATATATATGTATATATATATATATATATATATATATATATATATATATATATATAATTCAAAAATAGGAGTTTCGCTGGGAAGGAATTTTCTAACATGATCGTTTTTTAGTTTTTTTTTTGACATGATCATTCTAATATCTTTATTCCTGATATGATCTTTTTTGGATACACTACACGCTCTCCTTAGACAATCTATTTCTACTACTTCTATTCTTTTTCTATCTTTTTTGTGATCTGCCAAACTTCTGTCTTCCTTCTTTCCATAAGTCATAATAGGCTCTACTAAGGTTCGATAGATTGTCAATTTTGTTTCTTGTCTAATATCTTTAGATCATAGTAGAAAGTTTAGAATCTTAATCGCTTGTTTTCCCTGCTGCGTCCTGTTTTCGATGTCTCTTTTGATAGTGTCTTCTTTAGATATTATAGATCCGAGATATTTATATTCATTGCATGTTTTTGTGTTTCTAATTTTTACCTCTGAATCTTCTTCGTCATTTACTATTTTAAGATGCTCTGTATATGACATATTCATATTAAGGCTCTCTTTTTCACATTCTTTCTTTGTATACCTATTCAAAAGAATTTTTATTTAACAGAAACATAATTAGACCACACATTTTTACATTTAGAAACATGTAGTTATATTATTTTATATTTAAAAGATTGTTATAAAAAATTACCGAAATGTATTCATAACACATTCTACAGGTACATTTATTGAAGCGAAGCTTTTATACTGGCGTAATATTACTTTCTTTTACTCTACAGTAAAATGTTTAGGCAAGCGTCACGGAACTAGCGACACGAAAGGCGTCACGAGTAGCGTCATAGAATATCAGTTCTTGACATAACAAAGATAGACATTAAATGAGAAGTAAAAAATTAAAAGAATATCTGTTAAAAATCGAAAAGATTCGATTTGTAACGATTGTCAAAATTCAATACAAGTCATCCGATAATATCATCCGATTATTAATAACATTAAATCATCTGTTTAAATTTTTATAAAAATTCTCGTTATAAAATAATTTCATATAAATACAATGTTTTTTTGAACATCTTTATTAATTAACAGTTGCTATCAACAAGTCCTCGTAGATACTTTGTCTCAGGACCAGCAACCTCATGTAGAGATCAGATTTTAACTTAATAAAATTTAACGAGTTTTTACATAAATATTTAGCGGCTCAAAATATGTACACCTAGACACACTGATGATGGAATAGAGATTCCGAAAACGTTTTGTAATATTTTAAAATGGATTTTAAATAAATTTTTTTGTTATTTGTCAGTTCCTCTAGTTTCTTAAAGATCTGGTCTTTTACTTGCTTTTCCTTTTCCTCTGTCGGTACATGGGCTGGAATTAGAGAATAGTTATGCAGTTGTCCGTTTAGTCTGATATAATAGGGCGTTTCGTTAACACATCTGAAGGTTATGTCTGATCCCATAAGACTTTCCTTGACTATGAAGCCAGTGCTAAATTGGTGCTTCTGTTCAATTCCACTAAAAAATAATACAGATTTATTAGTTTTTAGTATGCATTTTCAAGTCTATCTAATCTTTTGTTCATCTAATGTCGATATCTTTGGATTTCAGTTCTTTGACCACCTGAGTTCGGACTCCCGGCTGACATATTCTTAGTACGTCCCAGAGTCCTGTATTCATTTTCATTTATCGTTGTTGTTGTGGTCTTGAAAGATCCGAATTTATGCGAGGCATGTTTTTATTTTCACAACTTATTATTTTTTACGAGAAGAAATAAGTCCCTTGCTTTTCTCATCCTCGTCTTGGGACCAGATAACCGCATTTTCACCTTGTATTTCCAGAGTCATTATCCAGTAAGTCATTATCCAGACTCAAAAGTCTAGTCATAGCATTCACTGCTGAACATAGACGTCTTCCTCTTGTTTCTAAAACCGTCTATCTTACGCCACTCATCATTTCCTAGATTTGATTTCCCAACAATTTATTCTTAATTTCATTACATATATATATATATATATATATATATATATATATATATATATATATATATATATATATATATATATATATATATAACACCAGGATGTTATTACTAGGACGTCCGCAGTCCTGATAATAACTATTCTTTTGTTCTAGGTTTTTTTTCACTAGGTTAGTAGTCGTTATTACTTCCTCGGCTTCTTCCCTAGGAAGTGAGGACCAAAGAGAACCTAGGCATATTTTTAGACTCAAATTACAGTTACAAGTGACAGTCAAGTCGTCTTTTTTCAGATATCCTACATGGCCCGATCACATTTACAGTCCATTTCTTGATGTAACCGTTAGCACAGTTCACCTACAAAGTTTCCTTGCTTCTTTCCACTACTTGTTCCAGTTTATTGAAGAGCTAAGGCTATAATTCCCCAGAGTCCTTAGCTCTTTGGGGCACCACTTAAATACTTAGGCTTGAGCTTAAATTACGAACAGTTGACGGTCATCATGACAATATTTATCTTATCTGCAGCAGCGCGGAAAAGCTGCACATATGTTGTATTGAATCAAATTCTGAGATTCTTTAACCAAGATATTCTTCTTCTTTCTGGACCTCGTCTTCCATATATTTTTCTTTAAATGAATGATTGAAGGAGAGCATATCTGGATTCATTTCGCATAATAGGGAAAGGTGGGTAAAATATGATACTTGGGTAAAACGGGATAGTGCCTCTAGCGGCCTACCAATGACGTCAGCCACGGTAAAAAATACTTAAAACATTCGTCTAATGCGCCTTGGCTTGTAGTTCGAACGCATCGCAGTTCAAACACCCGACCTCTTTTACACGTTTTAAGCTGTAACTTTTGTTTTAATCAAGTTTTTGAAATAATTTTTGAACTCAGATGATGTGTAGTGCCCTGCACATAATGTGAATTAATTTTAAGTAACTGTAATTAAGTTAATCCTTTAAATGTTTTCGACTTTTTAAACTTGAGTTACAAGCTCCATATTCCGCCTAAAAAAACTTTTTAATATGTTTAAAACGTGTGCTTTTTTTTGCATATAAAGGAATTTTCAAACTTCCAAACGCTTTTTGTAAAATTCAATTCTGTTCACTAGGAGAGCCTAGAAATTTTTTTAAAATTTTAAACATTTTTTAGGCTTATAAACAAATTGAATACCTTTACGAGCTTTAAACATCATTTTCGAATCAAAATATATTATCAAATCAAATAATGTCATTATTATGATAAAACTGCAGACATTAATTATTTTAAAAAGTTATTACTGTTATTATATATTGTTACTTTTAGTAAACAAATATGTATTTATAAATTGTTAATAAATAATTTGAATTGAACAAAGGCGAACGAATTTTTTTTTTTTTGGAAAAATCAAACTTTTTAAAATAATTAATTTCTGGAGTTTTATCATAATAATGACATTATTTGATTTGAGAATATATTTTGATTTGGAAATGATATGTTTGAATCTCGTAAAGTTATTCAATTTGTTTATAAGTCTAAAAAATGTTTAAAACTTTAAAAAAATTTCTAGGCTTTCCTAGTAAACCGATTTGAATTTTACAAAAAGCGTTTGAAAGTTTGAGCCTTCCTTTATACGTAAAAAAATTGCAACTATCTGAGGGCCTTATTTAAAGTCTACTATAAATTTGAAAATTTGCGATTTTTTTTTCAGTAGGCTGGATTTCACAATTATTATGCAAAACCTATCCGACCGATCTTAACAAAATTTAGCACACGTTTTAAACATATTAAAAAGTTTTTCTATGCGGAATATGGAGCTTGTAAGTTTAGAAAGTCAAAAACATTTAAAGGATTAACTTAATTTTTTTGTACTTGTTTCCAATTATTGCTATTTTTTCAACAATAAACATTAAATTTTCAATTTCTAGCTAACGAAATATTGTGTAAAATTGAATTACGTAACTTTTAACTCCCTATAATTTTTTCTCTAGGACCAATATTTTCCGAATTATAAACAAAAATAGGAGCAAACAAATGAGAAATTTTCAATTGTTTTCAGATTTTGTTAAATAAAAAATTTAGCACAAGTTTAGCACAAGTGATTATCGATATTGGGCACATCCTGAAGGGATTCCAGCAAAAAAATAGCTTCCTATTGAAAATGTCCAATCCAAAACATATCCCGTCTAGACTATCTTATTAAAGGAGCGATCCGCTTCTATTCTTAGAAACATCTTTTTATTAATAAGTTTTTACGTATATTTTTCAGATATTTACAATTCCAAAGAGAAAAGAGAATATGGCTTGGAGCAGTGGTTACTTGAAACAATGTATGCTTAAATTGCAACAATATTTTTTTATTATTATTATTTGTATTAGTTTTATAAAATAAAATAAATCATATTCTAGTATTTATTATTTGTTTATACTTAAATTTTTAAAACGTTAAAAAAGAAACCTAATAAAATTTTTTACATTCTTAAAAATACTAATAAGAGATGGCACAACCATTACGTGGTTTAAATAAAAATTGTATTCTGCAAATTTGCAAATACAATATTATATAGTTTGAAAGAGTATTTGTTTTAAACAATTTATACTAAAGATTTATCATTTAAGTATATATTTGCATTTTCTTTTTAATAAACAATAATACTCTACATTTTTTATTTCTTATATTATTTAAAAAAGGAACCTAACAAAACTTCTTTGAAATTTAAAACTTAATCCAAAAGATGGCGCAGCAAGTACATTTCTAGTAAATTTACCTTCTTAAACCATGTGAGTTGCCTTGTTTGAAATCAACCTAAATAACTAAAGGAAGGCCAGACATTCTTCAGATAATGTTAAGATTATTTAACCCAATTCATCTAGTCTGAAAATGCTTCCTAAGGAAGTTAGAACTCTTTGAAGATGGCGTCTTGTAATTAGTTTTTTTTTAATATCTCAAGAACGTATCTAAGACAAACGAAAATTGGTACGATAATTTATCTTTCGATTCCATCAATTATTGCAAATTTCTAATACCGGTCATAGGCGTCCGTTTCGGGTAGGTTAACGGATATTTTAACGCATAACTTTTCTGTTTTTAACTTTTAAGCATTCGTGGTAGTAAGATTTTTTTTAATACTAGATTTTCAGGTGTTCTACGCGACTACTAAAAGGTACTCTTATTTTAAGTCGGTAGAGTACACCGTTTTCTAGAAAAATCGATTTGGAAATATTTCGTTTTTTCGGCATAAAAGTTAAATTAATATTTGTTGCACTAGTTGGCTGTCAAGACAAATATAACCTACGTTTTCATTGTCAAATTGTTCTCAGTTCACGAAGTTTATCGTTTTGTTTTTCACTTTGTGGTGTTAAAACACAACAATTTCAATTCAACAAAAATGGATTTGACTAATGAGGAATATGCTGATATGCATTTAGTTTATGGCGAAATAAAGCGTAACGCTCGAGCAGCATAAAGTGGATGAGCTGAAAAATTACACAATCGTAAGCATCCCACTAACTCAACATTTACAGATCTTCATCAACGATTAAGAGAAGCGGGTTCAGTGACCCCAAAAAATAATGAAACAGGGCGACATAATGATGTAACAGCAGCACATGAAGAAGTTACTTGATTGGAAGTTAAAGGAATATCCAGAAATTAGCGTTCGAAGAAGAATGTCCTGGCTGAGAAACCTCAGAGAATGGTTTGGATGCAGCTCAACTAAACTCTTCAAATCGGGCTATCAAAAGTTAGAATAGCAGTGATGATTGCGAACCTTCGTCGCGGAGATGGCAAGTAAAGAAAAAGAAGAAGCGTTCGAAGACTATCTGCTATGTATCGCACAATTTTAAAATCTTCTGTAGGAAATATCTATAAAAGAAAACAAAAAAAGGACTATTCAGAGCACAGTGATGAATATTATCCTATATGGAGCGGAATTGTGACAACATGATAACATCAATATGAAATAAAATAAGAACAGTTGACGTGGACTTTATGAGAAGATACAAATTACTAAAGCAAATAGAATAAAAACAGAGGATATATGGAACATATTGGAAGTGGAATGTTCAATTACAAAAAGTTGGAAAACAGAGTTTTAAGGTGGTACGGACATGTACAAAGAATGTCAGAGCATAGGTGGCCAAAAAGAACAATGGACTGAGATCCGCCGGGAAGAAGACGGAAAGACCTTCTACAAGATGTAAAACATACATAGAAAATGCTATGATAGATAGAGACCTCAGAGAAGATGACTGCGAAAATAGAGTACTGTAGAGGACGAAAACGGCCAAATAATAATGAGAAAAGCCGGACAAGAAGGAAATATATTACAAAACGAAAATTTATATACTTTTCATTTAACGAAGGTGTAAGCACTGTTACAAGTAGATTTCCTGCTCGTGATGAATTCGCTAGATGGTCACAAAATCAGAAAAATCAAAATGAAAATTTTTGTGGAAACATTTTATTTTTCGACGAAGCTACATTCACAAAAAAAGTAATTTTGTATGTTAAAAATACACAATATTATTGGTACGTTCGTGACAATCCCCACTTTGTTCAAGAATTTAAGCATCAGCCTAGGTTAAGCATAAATGTCTGGATAGGAGTAGTTGACGATTATCTACTTAAACCTGTAGAATTGCGTGCTTGTTTAAATGTTTAATTTGTGCATATTACTTATATTTCCTGCAAAACGTTTTACCTGATTTGTTAGATGATGTGCCTTTTAATGTTCGGCAAAACTTATGGTTTCTTACATGACGACTCTCCTGCCCACTTTAGCATGAATTTACGAGACTTTCTTATTAATAACTGCGAAGACCATTGGATTGGAAGAGGCGCCCCAGTTGCTTGGCCAGCAAGGTAGCTTGATTTCATTTCTTATGATTATTGTATTTAGGAATACATAATAGCATTTGTATATCCGTTTCGATACAAAATCGTGCACAACTCTGACTAAGGATACAAGATGCTTGCTTATTTTTAAAAACCTTTAAATAAAGTTTTGTTTCAATTTAATTTTTGCTTCTTTTCCCAAACTTTTTGTTAAATAAAAGCGTTCTTTTAGAGGTGCATCTGCTTTTTAATGGAGAGCATCTGCATCTAAGCATCCTATTAACCAATATAAAATATTGAACTATACATGTATAGCTATGTACTTTCTTTCTGGAGAGGGGGTGCAGTTTTCGTAATACCTGTTATTTTCATCTTCGACGGCTTCTATAGGATTCTGGTCAGGATTGGGATTATCATCATAAAGTAGCAAAATTGCAAAATTTTTATAATCATTTCCATAGTGTTTGCATGGTAAGATATTTTCGTCTTTTAATTCGTTTCTTTTCAACAGCCAAATCTCTCCGATATTTGAACGACAAAATAGCTCTCCTCGGATCATAATAACATTAATTTTGCCTCATCGTAACATAAACGGGTTGCACTGTAAGTTAAATATTTTTTCATAGTTAAATTTAAATTTTCATTGTGAAAAAAGTAGGAGAGAGTGGGGCATTGTATGATATCTTAGATACTATGCCTGATATTTCAGGAACATGGTGTTAGGGTTGCTAGAAAGGTTTTTTATTGTACAACATATTTATATTTGATGGGCATACTATTTACTATTATAGTAGTAACAGTATTCTCAGAATAAAGAGACGTAAAGTAAATTTTTCTTAAAATAAAATTTAACCTTTATTCTCAAAATTTGGTAACATGCAATTAAATAACATTAAAAGCTTTAAAATAAGTAGTCAACAATACATATGGTACATACATGTGTGGCATCGTCATCATCATCATCTTCTCCTGCACATGAGCAATGTGCCCAATGCTTGCATTTCATGCACTGTACCCAACCCTCAATAGACTATGATCATAAACTACAGTAAATGCATCCAGCATCTTCTTCATTGGTTTACATTATCTTTTTGGGTTTTCTTTAAACTTTTTTAATTTTTTTCTTTGTACAGAGTGATTATGTAACGATCACCGTTTTTCTTTTCTTCTTACGACCCTTTTTGTCGTACGGTTTTCTTTGGCAAAGGCATAATTTGCTCAGGAGATGTGATAAAACTTTTTGCTTGTGCATTCATGGACATATTGCTTTGGACATGTTCTTTCTGTCGGTGGCGTATGTATCTCCTCCACAGTAAATTGTACTTAAAAATCATTTTTTGAATCGCTGGACGTTGGCAGACAAGTTGAAGTGCAGGGATTAAATTAATACGATTGTTTGTAGTTTCAGCTGACGCAAAATTTACATCAATAAAAGCATTTCTATTTATAGGCTAGATTTCTGTTACTGTGTCTGCGTACATTTTTTCACTTCATTACTGTGGTAGGTGCTTAGTTATATAATAAAACCTCCATCTATCGGCTGCACACGGTATGTAAAATGTATAGGAATGCACAACAAAGTCACACCACTTTTGCAGGCCATATCAATCACCTCTACAGATTTCACTTGTGAGGGATCCAGCTAAAGTCACAAGTAATTCTGGGGGCATACCCTTTCTCGGAAAAATATCCATGGAAGGCATGTAGTTGCCAACAGCACTGGAGTAAATAATGCTTGCCATTAATTTGTCTCGTTCTGGAGAAGTCATCATCCGTACCTATTTCTCATTTGCCATAAAACGCTAGAATTTTGAAATGGCTCCTGGGCTACCAAGAGCCATTGTAGTAACACATGTTTCATTGACGTTAAAAAATTCGCTAAACATTTAATTTCTGTTTATCGTAAATCTTCTCCTGCAGACCAAAAATGGCTTACGGCAACTCGGTTGAACCCCATAACTCTGGCTGTGAAGGTAGGTTCAGGTTTTCGGTAACTGAAATCACTATGACGTTTCAAAAATCGTTTAAGCCAGTCTAGTCCTCTTACTCAGTAATCTTTGAAACATGACAGTCAAAAAAGGATTTAATTGATTTAAAACCAGACAAGTCATGTATTGGTTAAGGTCTGCACTCTGTAGATTAAAGTAATTCAGACAAGTATATCCTTGTAAAGAAAAATAAATACCTAGATATAAAAATCCGACGTTTGGGTAAACATATATATTATTTTAAGTTTTAAATAGTATGTGATTTATTCCTTTTGTAAAAATTATGGTTTCGTCAGTATTAAAAGATTTATGTCAATAATTATGGGATGGAGATACAAACAGAATAAATGGTAAACCAAATAATAGTGCCATTATTCCTAAAAAGAGAAATCAAGCAACAGCGAGCGTGCATTGATTTTTCTTTAAGATGGCAGAAGTGAAATAGTCAAAAACTTCTAAAACCTCTAAAAATTAACTTAACAGAAACTTAAACATACAAATAACACCGTTACTAAAGTTAATACGATAATCTTAAAAGAAAACAACAATTGGTGACCTTATTTAGAGACGGAGTAAGATCAAAAATGGAAATTTGTAGGAAACTTAATATTAGGGTTCATAATCAAAGCAACTTTAAAGAAAAGCCCTTTTATATTTTTGTAAACCATAAATGTAATTTTGAACCGTAATTTGATACAGAAAACTTCTTTAACCCCATTAATACATCTCCTTACTTTTTAATTATTTTCTTTGTAAGGCATACAAATATTTTGTTTTACCAATAAAAAAAGGGACCCCAAAATTATTTCCCAAATTAAACCAGAACAAACAGTCGATTTCCGAATAGTTATCGTGTATCCATTGTGAAAGGGAGAAAGTGCCACTTTTTCTTTGCCAATGCGGTTGTTTCGACACGTGGTGGGTCGCGTGCATTCTGTTGACGTTCTGCCATCAATCTAAATTAAGTTAAAAGCTTCCTTAATAAATTGCATACAACTATTAGCGGCACGTCCGCCAGTTAGTAGCTAGTCATTTTTGTCAATTAAAATGTTCGTTCATGTTTGTTAAACTGTTTTGAATTTACGTTACTTAGAATTAAACTTTTTTAACCCTTAGAATATATAATAATAGAAATAATGAATCAATATAAAAGGATAAAAGTTTCGTAGTTAACATAAAATATAGAAAACTTTTTGATGCGGTAAGGACTAAAAAATATGAATACTAATATTAATGTAATCAAAATTAAACATATTCATTATAATCCATATCCTGAAATTAGCCAGAGGGCATAGCTTAGTGTCTAGGAAATAAAATAGTAGACTATATAATTACAAAAATTAATTATTATAATTATTTTATACAGTATGTCAATTTTAAAACTTACAATTTAAAACTTAAAAGTCTAGTTCTAGGATAGTAAGAGGGAACTAAAATGACATAAAAGAGAATCATCAACCCCCCTCATCAACCCTTAGGCCCCACTCACCACAACCAAAAAAAGTGCAAACCCCTAGGTGGTTTGCAACTGTAAACTATACAGGGTGCATAAATAAAAAATATACAGACTGAAGCAATAATTGTGAAACTTTGGCTTAAATAGAAAAGTTAATGAGGTTTTTGTTGAACTACAAATTTGTTAAAAATGTCAATTAAGTAAATGTTCAAAGAGGGTTCCATTGATTTGTAAACAATAATACAGCCTATTTTCAAATCCTGAACGAACTTTGGCAAATGTTGTTCTAGTAATAGCGCGACATACGCTATTGCGTTTTTCCTTGCGTAATTCTTTCTCGCAATTCTCCGAGTGACACAGGTTGAGTTTTATAAACAACTGACTTGAGGTAACCCCATAGAAAAATGTTAGGTGGCGGTTAGTATGATGACTTCGGTGGCCATTCAATAGGACCTCTCTTTTCAATCCATTTGTTCGGATAATTATTTTCCAACCAGTGCCTAACTGGAGCTAAATAGTGAGGAGGTACTCCATCTTGTTGGAAGTGCAGCAAATCTTTGTCTAGAGCGAGGTTGCCTTGATCGTCCCTTTGGTTCTCTAATTCATATTCATGCACAATTAAAGGTTTGATGATGTTTTCCAGCATATAGAGATACATGTCGCCTTTTAAATTGCCTGGTATGAACAAGGGGCCAATTATAGCATCACCTAATATTCCTGCCTAAACATTCGGTTATTCAGGATATTGAGTGTGACCTTCTCTGAATCGATGCGGGTTTGCATCACTCCTTTGCATCACTCCTACCGACAGTTTTGTTTATTTTTTTATTACCATTCAGCATAAAAGTATATTCTTCAGCGAAACAAATATTTTTTAACATTCTTGGTTCAACGCGAATTCTTTAGTTCTTTAGTTCTTTAGTTTTGTGAACTCGTGACCAATGTTTCAGCATACAGAAATGGGCAGAATAAGGGTTCAAGTTTGAAACGTATATCTAAAAAATATCGATAAGTGTTTAACAAGGCGGCTCCCAGTAAAAGTGTAGCAATCATTAAAAAATTTCGTAACACTTGTAGTGTACTGTGTTAGCACAAGGGCTTTTCTCGTCATCTAAAAACAGTTCTTATAAATCTCTCGTATCATCATCATCATTGGCTCCACAACCCATTGTGGGTCTTGGCCTGCTCAAGGATGTCTCCATTCTCTCCTATTCTTCGCCTTGGTTTTCCAGTTTTGTAATGCCAACATTCTCAAGTCTTCCTCCACCTGATCCTAAAATGGTGCTCTGGGTCTGCCTCTCCTTCTTACTCCATCTATTCTTTGGTTATAAATATTTTTTGGCGGCTCCATCTCATTTATTCTCTCTATGTGACCTAACCACCACAGCCGGTTTATTTTGATGGACCTAATAATATCAGGTTTGTCATACAGGCGGTAAAGTTCGAAATTATAGCGTCAACTCCATAATCCGCCCTACTGTACTTCTCCATAGATATGCCGGAGAATTTTACATTCAAAGCATCTTAAACGTTCTTCATCGCTTTTTGTCATCCATGTTTCCGACGCGTAGGTGAGGATGAGCTTGATAATAGTTCTGTATGTCACTAGTTTCGTTCTTTTTTGTAACTAGGCCTGTTGTTAAAAATTTTTCTAATCCATAATAGGCTCTATTTGGCTATTTGGCTTTATAAATCTCTCGTACACACTGTTCAAATCTCTTCGTGGTTATTCTTACCTCATTCAGATTGGTCAAAGACTAAATGTTGTAAACAAATGTGCAAGAGAAATTTACAGTGGATGAGTATTAAGTCTAGTGTACGAAGATTTCGTTTTCTTAATAAATATATGGTTTTAGGACAAAAGTCTCATTTAACTTAACCGTTATATCAATAAACCAACAACTCGATTTCCTGAAACTTATTTATTCATGATATTTCGGAGGTAATAAAGTTTTGTCCATTTTTACTATTTACTAATGACCTTACTAGTAATAATTAGAGAGTATTTAAACAATATTTTGCCGAATCGAGTTATCAGGGGAGCATTCGATATTAAGTCGCCTACGCAATTTCCAGATCTTTACCCATGGACTTCTTTTTTTGGGGACATTTAAAAGGCATTATCTATGATCATTATGAGTCGAGATCCCAAAATTTGGATGAATTAAAAAATCGAATAAAAGAATTCTCCAACTCTGTTACAGCAGAAACTCTTTCGTATGTCCGCAAAAGTTTGTATGACAGATTGAGATTCTTTGCAGTCGTAGAAGGTCAACTATTTAAGTCAGTTATGTAGGGCATAAAGAATTATTTCTTATTTTATTAGAAATTATTTTTTATTATCTTTGTTATCTTTGTTTTACCTTTTTTAAGAAATGCGCTTTTATTTTTAATTAAACCACAAGAAATTGTTCACATTATTAAAAACCGATACAAATGCACCGCCTTATAAAGGTCAGTGAATTTTTATCGAGTTTATTTACTCTAATAAGTGAAACGAGGAGGGGATCTGAGAATTACAATTACCTCGTATGGGTCAATGTTACCGATTTTAGCGCTCTATAATAATTAAAAAATTTCACTCTCTAATATTCATAATAGACCCTACATTATATAATTCGTTGAAATCAGGTTATTAGAGAGCTTTTAAAATATAGAAGGTGTTCCACTAAAAATTAAACTTTTAGACTATGCTAGGCTTGCGTTAGTCACCCTGTACATTTAAATTTATGTTTAAAAAGCGCATATTTATATATAAAAGTCGACGGGTCCAGCGTTATTTATAATAATTATTTAAAACAGAAAAACATTTCATAAGTCATTTCCTCCTTATATTACATAGAATACTACATAACACAGAAATCAAAGTTTGATATCATATATACGTATATTTTGACACATATCTTTTTGTAATGCTTTATGTAGAAAATGTTAGAAGCAAAAAGTATATACTATGTAGTATTACGATTACTTTAATAAAGAAAAAAGCAATGTATTTTTTCTATTTATTAATAAGTTTCTCTCAAAAGCAGTCGCCTCCTTATATCGGTCATCTTTTCAGTTAATATCCATGGCTGATATTTGGAGGTATTATTGTATAATATTAGTAAAAAATTTTAAAGGTTTTTTTAATAAATTAATCTGCTTTTTATATCTGACATTGAGTATTCATAATAACAGGTAGATATATTTGTCAAATCTGATGGTTCTCAAACTAGAGTTAATTTTTTATTTCTGACGGGTTTTTATTTATCTATGTTCCACTCGTAGTCAATTCAGTGAAAGCAACTTATGGAATTATGAGCGGCGAATATTATGCAGCTGATAAATCAAGTCCAAAATTCTTTCATAATGGTAAGAACTTTATGTTCCGTTTAATCACCTTTACAATTAAAGCACTTCTATATGAAAGTGGATTCTGTAGATATATATTTTATTATAACACCTTCGCATAACTCGAAGCTTTTAATATGTACAGTTTTGTTAATCTTAAGTAAATTTAAAATATATTATCGCGCTTATGTAGTTAGTTGTAGATTTATGTTTTCATTCAAGTTCCTCTAGCCCAAACCTCTCATAAATTCCAACAATACTTTCCTTTCCAATCTACTTTTTCCAAACCACCTCATTTTGTATTCTTGTAGTACCGAGCATTGCCCCATTAAATGCAGAATATCTTTCACCTCTCTTTCATAAACAAATTATACACTATTTCCTATCATCAGCCCTATCAGGTCTATCATTAAGATATAATACATCACATCTAATTTTAAATATTTACCTTATATAATTAAAAGATATTTCATCACTCATATAACTTGAACGCCGAGTCAAGCTCAATTGCTCCTATAACCTTTTACAGCTTATCCACATAAAAATTTCTATCCTCCCACTCTGTGTTAAATTCCCTCCCCATCTTTCACCCAATTTTTTCCAATATATCCAACTTCACTTTTATCATTTTCTGTAGAAATGCAGGAATTCATACCTGTACTTCTACAGGAGAACTTTCGTACCTTCTTACCTTATTTAAATTCCGCAAGTTCCAAACCTTTAACTCCCTAAGTCAAAATAGATTGGACTACCCCTTTATATATGCGCACCTTGATGATATTGGCAGATTTGCCTTAGCTAAATCCTCTCCCAAAGCCAGGTTTAAGCTACTCTGTCCGCTTATTGTATTTTTGTAAAAGTGGACACTTAAAGATAACCGCGATGTTAACTTCACTCCCAAAGAGCAACAAATATTAACGACTTTCACGATTTCTCTATTTATTTCACACTCTTTTCAATAGCTCCACACCCATGTATAAACACAATAATTTTTGACTTGTCCATGTTGATCAGTAAATTTCATAGCCTACAATACTTACCTAATTTATTAACCATAATTCATAAAACTCTTGGACTGCTTGCCAACCCCACCATATCATCAGCCTAAAGCAACATTTAAGTGAAAAATCCATTTAATTTTTTTTAGTGCAAATAGCAGGGACTAGGAATGCAGCCTTGCCTAACCCCCATCTCACAGGTAAAATATCGTGACATAGCATTTCTTCGCCAGACTTCCCAAAACAAAGCATAAGTTCTCTTATAACCCCTATCTCTTTATATTTTAATAAAGTTTGTTAAATTAAATAGTTGATCTACTGTGGAATATCAACCTTATTCCCCTGTAATTCATTACATTATCTGTCAAACCTTTCTTGTGCAAAGGAAAAGGGATCGCGTCCCGGAAAGAGTCCAGAAAATGCTCGATTGAAGATTACGTTAAAAGCAACCAATAACTTTGTTTTACTAGTACCAGAAAGATTTTTATAAAACTCGGCCGGTATCTTCTTGGTGCCACGTGCTTCATTATTATTTAGGCTTGTGAGCGGTACATCTAATTCCGTCATATCAAAAGTCCCATCCATACCTTCATCGGTCTCGGCATAACTTAGTTGGTTCGACTGTAGCGTTGGATTTCATCATCATCATCAATCAGCCAATCGCGTCCACTGCTGGACATAGGCCTCCCTCAATTCTTTCCAGTGTTCTCTACACTGGGCCGCTTGTAGCCAGTTTCCCGCTACACGTTTAATGTCATCGGTCCATCTAGTCGGTGGTCGTCCTCGGCTTCTTTTATAATTTCTGGGCCTCCATTCCATAATACGTCTTGTCCACCGTCCATCTTGTGTTCTGGCTAAGTGCCCTGCCCAGTTCCACTTAAGCGTCGTGGTTCTTTCGATGACGTCTTGAACTCCTGATCTTCGTCTGATTTGTTGGTTTGTTATGTGGTCTCGAAGGCTCACGTTCAGCATTGCACGTTCCATGGCGCGTTGGATTTAGGAGACCCAAAAACTGCAAACTAAATGTCTCTAATGGGATTGATGCATGTCTCGAACTGTTTTTAATTTAAACCCTTCCCCCCAAAGACCAAAATTCTTTAGAGGCACGTGCTCTACTTGTGATCCTTTACTACTCTCATGTAATACCCTCTCTTTTTGCTTTTACAAGTCTGTTTATATCTTATCTTTATGTTCCGTTTAGTCATCTTTACAATTAAAGCACCTTTAAATGAAAGTGGATTCTGTAGATATACATTTTATTATAAAATCGTCGCATAACTCGAAGCTTTTAATATGTACAGTTTTGTTAATTTTAAGTAACTTTAAAAGTTACTATCACGCTTTTGTAGTTAGCTGAAGATTTATGTTTTCATTCAAGTCCCTCTAGCCCAAACCTCTCATAAATTTCAACAATACTTTCCTTTCCAATCTACTTTTTCCGAATCACCTCATTTTGTATTCATGTAGTACCGAGCATTGCCCCATTAAATGCAGAATATCTTCCACCTCTCTTTCATAAACAAATTATACACATTTTCCTCTCATCAGCCCTACCAGGTCTATCATTAAGATATAATATATCACATCTAATTTTAAATATTTACCTTATATAATTAAAAGATATTTCACTCATATAACTTGAACGTCGAGTCAAGCTCAATTGCCCCTATAACCTATTCCAGCTTATTCACCCAAAAACTTTTATACTCCCACTATGTGTTAAATTCCACTCCCCATCTTTCACCCAATTTTTTACAATATCTCTAACCACAGTTTACTTTCATCATTTCCTGTAGAAATACAGAAATTCATACCTGCATTTCTACAGGAAAAGTTTCGTACCATCTTACCTTCCTTAAATTCCGCAAGTTCCAAAACTTTAACTTCATAAGTCAAAATAGATCGGACTACCCCTTTATATATGCGCACCTTGATGATATTGGAAGATTTGCCTGAGCTAAATTCTGTCGCAAAGTCAGGTTTAAGCTACTCTGCCCGCTTATTGTTTTTTTTGTAAAAGTGGACACTTGAAGATAACCGCGGTGTTAATTTCACTCCCAAAGAGCAATAATTATTAACGACTTTCACAGTTTCTCTATTTATTTCACACTCTTTTTAATAGCACCACCCCCTTGTCTAAAAACAATAATTTTTGACTTGTCCATGTTAATCAGTAAATTTCATAGCCTACAATACTTTCCTAATTTATTAACCATAATTCTTAAAACTCTTGAACTGCTTGCCAACACCACCATATCATCAGCATAATCCATATCTATTTATATTTTAATAAAGTTTGTTAAATTAAATAGTTGATCTACTGTAGAATATCCACCTCTATAACCTGCCTGGTGTTCCAGCAAAATCTTTGACTCTGCGTACTTCTTTATTCTGCCCATTAACAAAGACGAAAACAGCTTGGCTACTACATTCGGGTAACCTATTCCCCTGTAATTCATTAAGTTATCTGTCAAATCTTTTTTGTGCAAAGGAAAAAGAATCGTGTCCCAGAAAGAGTCCAGAAAATGCCCGATTGAACATTACGTTAAAAGCAACCATTAACTTTTTTTTACTAGTAACAGAAAGATTTTTATAAAACTCGGCCGGTATCTTGTTGGTGTCAGGTGTTTCATTATTATTAAGGCTTGTGAACGGTACATCTGATTTCGTCATATCAAAACTCCCATCCATAACTTCATCGGGCTCCGCATAACTTATTTGGTTCGACTGTAGCGTTGGATTTAGGAGACCCAAAAACTGCAAACTAAATATCTCTAAGGTGATTGATGCATGTCTCGAACTGTTTTTAATTTAAACCTTTCCCCCCAAAGACCAAAATTCTTTAGAATCACGTGCCCTACTTGTGATCCTCTACTACTCTCATGTAATACTCTCTCTTTTTGCTTTTACAAGTCTGTTTATATCTTATCATTCTCTTTAGATACATATCCCTCACATAATCGCCACTAGTTTTCCTAAATATTTTTAGAAAACTGACTATTTGCTTTCCGATTCTAGATCCAAGCATACTTCTATATCTTTTCTATTACTTTTACTTTCTTATCTTTTTGTTCGCCTACTCCTTCCATCTTGGCGATCTTGATAATGATTTTTTGCAGTTGCTCAGCAAAACTTACTGGCCTAATAATATTAACGTCTAGCCCCTGCTCATGTTCGTTTTTCCATTTTAATTTACATCTTCAATCAATAAAATGAACTATCTACCTCTCTGCTCCGTGATATCAACAACAACCCTTTTTAAATTTAAAAATCTCTGTCTTCTTTTCTCCTGGCTATACTATGCCGATACTATATCTATATCATAAGTTAACATTGTCAGCCGAATTACCATCTGTCTCTCTATCTCGATATATCTAGATTTAAATTCCGGCTTTATCCCACAGATCATTCCTCTTGTAGCACTACTAAATGTACTTGTCCTAGTGGTATATACAACAAATGTCCTAAAACTGTCAAATAAACTAATATATACAGAAGTTGAGACCTCCGTATCATGAGTTTCACTTAATATAAATATATGAAAACTACTTGCATAATCTGAGTAATTCTGATGTCCTGAGTAATGCCTTAATCCCTCCTACGTTATAATATAATATTCTAAATGTTTTAAAAGTATCACTAGATTCTAAGTATCTCTTCTTTCCTCTTACACTTGTGCTTCCTTCGATTTCATATGCATGGCCTCTTCTGCTTTTTGCTTTATTTCCATATAATATCTGTTTATTTCTAATCTTTTTCATCACTTTTCTCAATATTAAATGAAATGAGGTTGAATGCTCGAATAAATGAACTTTGAAAATAAGGCTATTATCGAGCACAAGCTAATTAAATCTAGCCCAAGTACTTTCGCTTAAAATAGCATCTTCAGGGGCATCTGAAATAAGCCAAGAAAACGTTTTTTAGATGAAGTAAATTAGTTAACTTCGATAAAAAACTCGAAGTTAATGGATGAAAAAAAAAGAGTTTTTGAGATTAACGTTTTAGACTTACTTCGTCAAAATG